GACGCACAAAACCCTCAGGTGTATAGAAACTCCCCCGCTGAAACGAAACCCATACGCGCAATCCTCTCTCACCCCTCATCTGTTATGTTTAGTTTAGTGTGCCTCTCATAAATCAGGAACTATCCCCTATGCGTGCATGCATGCATACCAGTACGCGCATCATATCTCTTGCTGCACTGCACTGTGCGCATGAGTTGAGTTCATACGCCGGCGTATTTCCTTCTACGGGCTAGCCAATGCACAGATATGAATATTCATTTGGTTGTGCCTCGCGAGACTGTCCATGTTTTGTGTATATATTCGTATCTTGCATGCGTGCATGCGCGTATTGTGTGCAGGGGGCCCCGCAGCGGTATGATCTTCGTGAACACCAAACGAGTGCCAAATGGGGCCTCCAGAGTCGACGCAGCGGTCTTTCCAGGCCTTCAAGGGGGACCTCACGAGAACCACATTGCTGCTGTTGCTCACCAACTCAAACAGGCAAGCGAAGCACCGCCTGCCTCACCCCAGAGGCACAAACATGCAATATTATCTTTTCTGCTTCACCGCATGCATAGAGGGGGCTGAGCCCTTCCCCCCAACGAATGAACAACTGAACAAGCATCCATATATGTGAATCTATGCATGCTTGCACTCAACTGCTGGTTGGCAATCTTAATACGAAATGCTAGGGAAGGAAGTGGTTTGATAGTTGCGCTGTTTGCTGGAGGTACACGTCTGCATTGCAGACGTGTACACCGGAGTGGAAAGTCTATTCACAAAACGTGTTAGACAACTGCAAGCTGTTGGCAGCTGAGTTACAGAGCCACGGCCTGCAGCTCGTCACCGGCGGGACGGACAACCACTTGCTGCTCTTGGACTTGAAACCACAAGGGTTGACGGGTGCGTTGTGTAGATACATGTATGATGAGAAAGCTGTTTGTATCTGCATGTGCGTTCTGCTTCCTGAACAGCCATTCCTGGTGTCCAGTGGTCCTCAATATCCTCTCTGCAGCCCTCTACCGATCCGAAAACACAGAAAATTTACCTCACCCTGAGCGCCACTTTCTTCGTTGTTGCACAAAGACATCGTGAGGGTTTGAAACTGCATTCACGTGAATACAGTGCGCTTGAGGTTGTGATGAATGCTTGTGCTTATCATAGGGGCGAAGCTTCAGTTGGTCTGCGACGCTGTGAACATCACCCTGAACAAAAACTCAATCTCGGGCGACTCACCAGGCATTCCTACCGGTGCGGGAGACAACAAAATATTTTCTATATTTGGTTTCAGCTGACGTTAGGGCTTAGGGTGCTCATGAGAAGAAAGGCTGTCGGTTAATGAATAAATACTAGTTACTCGAGTGATAATAGGTTTATCGCCTCCATACGGATGGAAATAATGTATTAATATTAGAATAAAAAACATATGTACGCAGGTGAGTTTCATTTTTGTTTGCTGGGATGTGCTGGCAGGCGTGCGCATCGGTACCCCCGCCATGACGACTCGCGGCTTCGGCTCGAAGGAGTTTAAACAAGTAGCGAGTTTAATCAAGGAGGCAATTGACATCTGCTGTGAAATACAGGGTCCGACACACATGCAAAAAAACCAGTAGCATCTGTACACCCACCAACCGTCTACACCCGAGTATTCATATGCAGAACACTTGGAATGCCCTGCATGCATCCGCGCACCAGCGTGCACTTGCTTGTGCTGAACATGAAACAAGCAGCAAACAACCTGCAGGAACAGTTGCTAGCTGCTGTTCCTCTCCAGTTGTATAACGACGAAGACCACCAATGCATCTGTCTGTACCCCTAGATACATACTGTGTGTATATACTTCATATTACGCTTTTATTTATTCTCTTCTTTGTGCTGTTGCAGAGCAATCGGGTAAGAAACTGAACGACTTCAAGAAACACGTAACCCCATCGCATCCCCGCATAGCTTCTCTCAAGGAACGGGTGACGGCGCTTGCCCGCAGCTTCCCCATGCCAGGCCGGCCTGGCCTATGAGCAGTTTGAACCGCGTCGTCAAACAGAAAAAAAAAATAAAAATACACATGCACCTGTATTCTGAAATAATATTTTTTTTTGGGGGGGGATTGACACTGAGGACTTGCTGGGAGGGAAACCCTGGCGCGACGCAGCAGATGCACATTTGCGTTTGACCAAGGAAATGTTTTGTTATAGTAAGCAGCAGTGTTCCCCGATTTATATGAGTTCCGTTATGAGAGCTTTGTTGGGTTGTAGTTGCCCTGCTGGAGTAAGATTCCTCCTTTCTGTTGTTTACATGTAGCGTTTGCTGCAGTATACAATAGCGAGCCTTTTCCTGTATTCGAGTCGGGCTCAGCAGGGATTTTTTGAAAACACTATTTCTGCATTTCGAGCTCATAAAAACCTCTTGCGCGTGCCGCATGCGCATCCGGGGCCCCTGCACACTTTGCTGGGGGCCGTCGGGTTAGATATTTCAGTGCATTTGTTTCTTTTAATTACGGGATAAACGGATGCACACTTGCACGCATGCACTGAGTTTCTTGCAGGCTGCAACGTGTGCTTATTTTCTATTTTTGCAAGATACTTGAATAACGCTTTCACGATCAACCCTCATGGAGATTCAGCCGTCGCTCTACCTCGGACAGAAGCACGCTTGATATGCAAACTAGATCCTGTGTAGTACAAATTAGATCTGAGCGCTGCTCCTCATCAGACATATATTCTGCACTGAAACCTTACCAGAAATCCAGAGTTTCTTCGTGTATTTAACGATTAGGTCTTGTTAAGGCGGACGCTCTGAGGCACATGATGCGTGGTGCTGATGCGTTTGCCGCGTTTTCATCATAAAGACGGCTTTGCTTATTTTTGCCTGTATTGGTTTTCCTTTTCAATAGCGTCAAATGAAAGCCTTGCGGCCTAAAAACACTTCTCTGCACGCTCTTCTTGTCAACCGTGTTGATGCATTGCAACAATGCATTGACGTGGGCTATTAACTAGGGTCCAACGCAGCAGTCTAACGTTTATACTCGCCATGTATATATATATATATATATATATATATATATATATATATATATATATATATATTTATGTATTTATGTATGTAGCTCTACTCTCTCCCCCTCTGGTAGGACCTGAAACAAACTTAATTTTTAACAGGCTGTATGTAGGTCCCCGATGGGGGGGGTTTGCTTCTGAGACGGCACGGGTTGTCCCGGGACAGAGTGTATCTGCTGTAACCCCTCTACCGCTTCCTTTTACTAATATTACAGCTTACTGGAATATAGATTGGGTTACGCTAAGCTTGTAGCTGTGATTTCAGTCCATTGGACCTCCGACTGAAACAACAGAGGTGAAGCGTTCTCTGCATATTGCATACCCTGATCTAATATAATATTCTTCTAGTCGTAAGAAACTTGCAAATTGTAGCTGCATTGCAGAAAGTGGCGGAGGTGTGCGGCGGCGATTTCCGGGAACCCAGTCCGTGGGTCATGGTGGGAGGATCGTGACGGGGTAACGGCGGAATCTATGAAATAATTTTACATAAATTGATTAAATACATTCATAAATTATTTATTTATTAAAAAAGGGTTCGATTGGTCGGTTATTTTCAGCGGAAATTCAAACGCAAGATATCGTCGATTGCTGTGGCTGGCTCGAGTGGCTATTGATCTGCCACGCATGCTGCATAGCTCTCTGCCTTCTTAGAAAGCAAAAAATTCAGCTTTCTGTTTGTTGTTTTGGGTTATTTCACAGCCCCGGGAAAGTTTGAAGGAAATAGTGAAAGATTTCCCGGAGGAAGGTGAATAGCATCGCCGTCTGTATTCCGCCGCATCGAAGCGGCTGCTGTTTATGTTTTCTTTTTCCTAGGAACAACAGCTCAACAGCTTTCTAAATAGAACTCTATTATGGCTATTTAAGGGTCTAATGCTGCTGTCGTTCACAGGTTTCCCACCGAAAGCAGCAGGATCTTTCAGCTGTACAGCTGCTAGGCAAGCGAGCAGCAGCAGCGACTAGAGAACTTGAATACATTGAAACTCTGCGTATATATCGGGACCGTTGACCCCGTATTGCTGCAGCAGCTGCAGCAGCTGTTGTGGTGGGCCCACAGCTGAACACATATACCTTTTATTTATTCAATATGTGCGGTATACTTGGCGCCTGCTGCGGCAACGCCAGCAAGGCATGTAACTGCTGCTCTCTACGCACATTCGCCTTATCCTGGCTTGGCATCAGTAAGATGTCTATACACTCGATACCCCTGAACACCCTCTTGTATAAAGAGAGATTCAAACCAACTGTCTATTTCATTTGTTTCTACCGCCCGCCACCGAGGGAATTTGTTGCATGCGTTTTCGTTTGTAATGTTTAGAGGCTATATTTCTGGTGTTTGAAGCAGATATATATATATATATATATATGTATATATATATATATATATACATATATATATATGTACATGATATATAGATATATAGCATTCTTCTCTGCTTCAAACACAAGAAATATACTGTGTTTGAAGCAGAAAATAATGCTATACATCATGTGGCTATATATATACATATATATATATATATATATATATATATATATATATATATATATATATATATGTGTGTG